CGCACGCACACTCAAATAGGGCCTATATATGGCCTATATAGGGCTTAGTATATCATCATCATCATCATCATCATCATCATCATCATCATCATCATCATCATCCAGTGCCAGATCTGCGACAGACATCGGCGATCATGGTTCTCCATTCATTCCTTTGCTCGGATGCTCTCAAAAAAGCTACGTTTCCCTGATCTTTCCCTGTTACCCATTTGTATTGGTTTCCTTAGTAAACGTTAGTATGTTATTGTTCTTTGTCTACCCCTGCCTCGTTTGCCCTCAATTTTGCCTGTGAGAGCTAAATGTTCAAGACCTTTATGTTTATTCAGGTGTTGCAAAAACTGCATTTGTCGTTTCCTGATTGTTTTTAACATTGAACGTCCCACATCGGCTTCATCAAGCACTGTACGTCATTTGATTTCTTTTCTTCCAGGATACTCTTAGCAGTCTCCCAAGTAACCACATTTCTGTTGCTTCTATTTTATTTAGTGATTGTCCAGCATTCACAGCCATATAGAAGGATTGACCAAACGCAGCATTTCAGAACTTTCATTTTGGTGTTCATTGAGATGTTTCTATTTTTCAGGATTGGGCTCATTTTATTGAAACTAGGCTTAGCCATTGTAATTCTCCGTTTTATTATCTGTGGAACATTTGGCATCAGATGTTATCATATATCCTAGATATTTAAACTGTTGGACTTGTTTGATCTTTTCACCTTTGCTAATGAGATTACAACTAGGATTTGCTGCTTTTTTTATATTACCATGCATTCTGTTTTCTTAACATTCAACACTAATCCTTTACGTTCACTTTCTGTTTCAACAGTATCTAGAAGCAATTGAAGGTCATTTTCTGAGCGTGCTATTAAAACGGTGTCATCTGCATACCTGAGGTTATTAATATTTTTTCCATTTACTTTGGAACCTACACATTCTGCTATGTTTCTAAGGATTGTTTCACTGTACATGTTAAAGAGGTCTGGTGACATAACACATCCTTGCCTCACTCCTCGCCTAATCTGCTTATATTCTCCATTAATTCGTGCAGCGACGTTTTGGTTCCAGTACAAACTCCTGATAATTTTTAGATCTTTTCCATCTATGTCTAGCTTTTCCAGTATTTTAAATAGCTCATCGTGTCTAACTTTATCAAACGCCTTTAAATAATCTATGAAGCATAAATACAGATCTTTCTGTGCTTCAATACATCTTTCCATTAACATTGTTAGCATTTTTGGTGCCCTTGTCAGGAAGCCGAATTGAGTTTTAGATATCTCTGGTCTTACACTTTTTCTCAATCTTCCCATTATTACTCACTGCAATATTTTTGTAAAATGACTCATAAGGCTAATAATATCACACTCAGTGGCACCTGGTGTTTTAGGTAAAGCTATAAAAACTGACTTCATCATATCTTCTGGGATCTCATCGCTGTCATAAATAGCATTTATAGGAGCTTTGTTGTTATTGCGTATATACGTATATACGTATATATAAATTGTAGGAATTGCAAAAAAAAATCTATAAATTAACACTTAATTGTGAAAAAAAACCACATAGCAATATGCATAGATATAAATGGATTGAATATTATTATAAAATGAAAAAAAAACAACCCATTCTATTTTCTTCGAAAATGCAATGCTTCTGGACCAAGGACCTATTACAACTGTTTGTTCTGGGCTCAATAAATACAGTACACAATATTATTATAAGTCTACCAGAGACCTCGTTTCGTTGCTAGGTCTCTTGATTCTACTGTGAAACAGTCTGAGCTAACTCGATCTACCACTGTGACTTTAGACAGTCTTAAATGCCAATCGAATTTCTTTGACTCAACAACAGCTAGTTGTTCTGAAATTGCTTTATTTCAGAATAAGTGCAAGATATAGATTCGAGCCGTGTTTGTATGATAATAATTATGCTTTGTTATAAAATTAAATATATCATTTCTAAAGAGTGAACGAGAAAAAAGCGAAATTATAATTTAACGTTAGTTTAGTAGTTTCGTTTTCTGACGAGTCACACTGGTGTTTGCTTTTTTTTTTTTTAGCGAGTTGACTGGTATAAAACTGGACCTTCTGCCGGCAAAAGTTGCTCTCTCTCTCTCTCAATCAGGGAAACTCAACAACAAACTGGTTGCTGCATCCGTGATTGTGCTTCGTCACTGAACTTTAAGAGTCTTACTTAGATCTAGATCTAGATCTAGCCGCAAGAAAACATGGCCTCCCCGATTATTAAAGTGTTAGATACAGAAAGCGATGTCTCCAAGCAGCTATGCCAACTTGTCATCACAAGAGCGAACTTAGCCGTGAAGGAAAAAGGCATTTTCACCATCGGCTTATCAGGTAAGGTGGTTACTATCAACAATGAACAATGACAATGGATCTCTCTAGATTTAGATTTCTAATCTAGATATCTAGATTCTAGATCTATCTAGATTTAGACTAGTCTACTTTACTGCTCTCAATCTCAAGTAAGACTCGATTTTGATTTATTGAATGTCAAATTTAACTTCCCTTTGTTTGGACTGATCTATTAAATCTAGATAGATTATATTATATGATCTAATCTAGATTTAGATCTAGATTCATAGATCTCTTTTCATCTTAGGTCTTAGGACGATGTTGCAAACTTGTGGAAATCTGTGCAGTTGCAGTGTAATGGTAGAGTGCCTAGAAAGTTACACTTACAGCATGTAGATTTTTACTTTCACTCCCGCACACAGATGTAGGCTCTGCTTTGGGGGTCAAACTGCAGTATATTTTTTGCTGAAGATCACACATGATATATGTCAGGCACTCGACAATTTTTAGGCATAGGATCTATATTATATGGAGTTATTGGTATCGTCTTTTAAGGCCTGTTCATTTGCCTTGTCGTGGATGAAAAAAATACTCTTCTGTCTTGAATAAAAGTCGAGATATTTATGATTGAAGGAGGTTGGGGTCGCAACAAAATGGCCACTAAAGTTTTGTCACTTCCGTAGTCGATATTGGACTATTCGTATTCAGCGCATCACAGTATATAAGGGCCAAGTAGAAAATGGACATCTGGTAGCTAAGTGTGAGACGGGAGGAAAAGTTAAACCATACCTTTCTTTTTAAATTTTTTTTTTTTTTCAGTAGGCAAGGCCTAGGACCCTAGGTGTTTAATATGCCCCCATTGACACAGTTTAGATCATTTAGAAGGTGGCTTCAACTTTGCCTGTTAGGCCAACTGGGGCTGAGAGGGATACATTGCCCATCAGAAAGACGAAGAGATACTCAATAAAATTCTCTTCGCCAACACAGAAATTGAACTCAGGTCTTCTGTGTACGACAGTGAAGTGCCTTCTTACCATCCCACCACTCAGGCCGGTGGAGTAAGTTTGGCAAATGAAAGGGATGTTGAATCATGTCTCTCCTTTGGCACCCTCCTCTGGGGTCCTGACTCTTTCTACTGCTACTCCTTGGCTCTTTCTTACTGCTGTCTTTCAGCCACACCCCTGATCTTATTGTAGGAAAAATCTACAACAAGTCTTCTCGGATAAGGGTGAAAAGTCTTGGAGGTCCGGTGTGCTACTTGCACTCATTAAAGATCCTTTGGTGGTCCAAAATCGATAAGAGTAGGCTTTGGCCGCCATCTGGGCTAAATTCAAAATTTCCTACCTGCTGAAATTGTTTTTATGTGTCTCGCA